GAATGCGCGCGGCATTGCTACTTCATACCTGGAAAAAGTGGCCGAGGGCAACAAGCGCTGGGAGGAGAGAGCAGTGAAAATCCAGAACGGCGAGCTGCCGCATGTGTGGGATATTCTCGACGAGAGAGGCTACATCAAAGATGTCGCAGGGTATGCATTGGACCCAGCTTCAACGTTGCTAGATTTTAGAGAGTCAATCCGATATCTAACATAGTCTATAGAACGCCCGAGAAGATCAAAGAGCTCATGCGAGTCAAGAGAATAGGAGCCTACGTTGGTGTTGATCCCACAGCCGACTCTATGCATGTCGGGCATTTGCTTCCCATGATGCCCCTCTTCTGGCTGTGGTTCCACGGCCACCCAGCTGTGACCCTTCTTGGCGGTGCGACTGCTCGAATTGGCGATCCCACAGGCCGCTTGCAATCCCGAGAGATACTGTCGAATTCAGATATTTCGAAAAACGTCACAAAGATACACTACCAGCTGTCGAGATTATGGCATAATGTGGCGGCACTGAGGGACAAGTACGGCTTCGAAAAAGACTGGGCTGCGAAGCAGAGCTTGCTGAACAACGGCATGTGGCTGCAAGGCCTTACGATGTACGATTTCACCAAGAGACTGGCACGACACACCCGAATCGGTCCTATGCTGACGCGCGATACGTAAGTCACAACTCATCTCTTTGAAGCTTCCAAGTTGCTAGTTTTCAAAGCTAAGCTATTGCATTAGTGTCAAACGAAAAATGACAGAGGGCGACGGAATGTCCCTTGGCGAATTCATGTATCCCCTGTTTCAAGGCTGGGATTTCTGGCACATGTACCAGAAGATTGGCGTTCAAATGCAGATCGGCGGCTCTGACCAGTACGGAAACATCGTGGCCGGTATCGACGCTTTGAAGGTTATCCGAGAATCCGAGGAAATGCCCGAGATGAGGATCCCTCCCACTTGGACGAACGAAGCCGTCGGCTTCACCGTGCCACTGCTGACAGATTCTGCTGGTGTCAAGTTTGGCAAGAGCACGGGCAATGCGATCTGGCTGGATGAGTTCAAGACGACACCGTTCGAGCTCTACGGTTACTTTATGCGCCGGCCTGATGAGGATGTTGAGAAGCTTCTCAAGCTATTCACATTCATGCCCATGAGCAAAATTCAGGAAGTCATGGTTGAGCACCAGGCTGACCCGTCGAAGCGCATTGCCCAGCACACGCTCGCATTCGAGGTCCTGTCTCTGGTACACGGCTCCCAGAAGGCCGTGGAGGAGGCTCAGCAGCACCAGTTCCGCTTCGGTGGACAACTCCCCTACTATGTCAAAGAGCCTAAGCCAGAGACGGGCATTCTGACGCCAAATACCGCGCCCCGGAAGGACATCGAACTTCCCCAAGCTGTGCTGAAGCTCTCTCCGGCAAAGATCCTATACGCCGCCGGCCTCGCCAGTAGCGCCAGCGAGGGCCAGCGCCTTGTCGCGCAGCAAGGCGCCTACGTTGCTGCTCGGCCTGGTCAGCAGCGCGGCCTCGTCCCGGGCAACCTGGACTGGACGCCCATGAAGATGTGGTTCCCCGAAGAGACAGCCAAGTTTGTCATTGACGAGCGCCTCTTGATCCTGCGCAAGGGCAAGCACAACATTCGAATCATTGAACTCGTCAGCGACGAGGAATGGGCAAGGAGCAAGAGAATTTATCCCGGCCAGCCCTTTACTGGTGTAATCAGACAAGTCAAGGAGCAGTTGAGAGTTGAGGCGGAGGAGAAGGGTGAAGACCTGACGCCTAAGAAAATCGTCGTGGAGCTCAACAGGAGGAAGAGAGAAGAAACTGTCAAGGTAGCAAACAACCCCGATATCGAGCTACCAAGGCCGGTGCCATCATGGCTTAAGCGGGGAAAAGTGAAGAAGAACGACTCCTCGAAGCGATAAATCAATTTTTTTGAAAGCTACCATTTTCAACGATTTATTACCTTGTATATTATTTGGGGGACTGGAAGAACTGGGAAAGAACAACATGTATGATATGATTTAACGTAGTTTATAGATCTCACGATAAACCTAGATGGTGTATATAAGACGATACCACTATTATATTACTCCGTAACTCCTCATAGAAATAATTATTTGTAAAACACTGTGATGTCGCCCCTTGGAACGGGCAACGTCTTTAGCCTCTCCATAACTTGATCATTGGTCAAATTTTGTTCCGTCATGATTTGATCCATGTTGTGGCATCCATCCGTATATTTCTGTAATGGATCCCCTCCAGCCAACGGCCTGCTCTGCCCCGACGCCAGCGAGGCTAAATATTGCTTTGAAACAACATACTTGTGTACGCGGTAGAGACAGCCCTTGATGACGCCAAATTGTACAAAGCGTCTTATGTCGATATAGGACATGATTTCAAACCCCATTTCCCGGTGAATATGGATCCATTCCTTGACGCTCTTCCCGGGCGAAAAAGCCGCCATGAACCGGATGAGAAGGTAATTGCTGACCCGCGCCCTGCCGTGAGACACGTAGCTAGCGCATTCGTCAACCATGCCGTCCACGTTGCGAATGAAGTCGTGAATTCCCGGACGGGGCGCGTAACACGAGCTGAAGAAGAAGATGTCGAGAAGGAGGATGGTATCGTAGTAGAGCAAGTGGCGGATGGCGATCTTGGCGAGATCGAGTGAGACGGAGGCCTCGTGGGCGATGCGGCGGACGTCGGAAACGCCGTCGATTTTGGCGACGACTTTTTGGAGGGTAATGTCCCACGTCGGATCGATTATGTCGTTGAATTTAGTTTTGGCCACGGGGACGTGCCAGCCCTTGACGGCTGGAGGATTTATGTGGTAGGGGAAGAGCTTCATGTTGATGGTGTTTGCTTCATCTGAGAGGTATTGGTCAGGCATCGCCGTTGGATGAAAACAGAGACGGTGATACTTACCAACTGGAATCATGCACTCTCCGTAGTTGTTCAGGTCCTCCTTGACAATCTCAAGCAGACTCCCGATCGGCCTCCTCGTGCCGTCGCCTTCCGGGCCCTTTGCCTCACTGAGGCTCAGGTACTCGTTCTGCTTCTCCATTTCGGCGAATGTCTCGGCCAGACACCTCACAACGCGCTCATACGGTGTCTGGTCGCACTCCGCCTCCACTAGCAGGCCAAAGTTGAAGATGAACTCATTGCGCATGTACTTGGTATGCGGGATGACCACCGGGAACCCCAGGATGGTGTACTTGCCATCGGGAGAGTTGATGGTGACATAGCGGTTGCAGAAGGCCTTGCGGGGGATGATGTACTCCTGCAAAACGTCGAAGTCGACGAGAGGCGGCCGCTGGCCATCAGAGGAGGTGATGCAGCCTGGAGGAGCCTGAGCGACGACTTTGGGGCCTAGAATGAAGAAAGCTGTTTAATGCTGATGAACTGGCATAGAGAGGTCTTGAGCTTTTACCTTCTTGAGGGAAGAATCGAGCGTAGAAGATGCCTTGAATCATGGCGGCGTTTGCGCGTTCATGGCATAAGAGTAAGAAATGGAAAAGACCTCTGAGGCTCTTTAGAGCCGTTATACCATATCGGGCTGATGCTGTTATTTGAGCCGAACTGGGGAGTTTTCTTTATGTATTTACGGAGGTTAGAAGAGATATTGGATTGTTGAATCGCGGTGGAATGTGAAAATAGACGAAAAAGGAGAGAGGGAGGGGAGTTTGAAGTGTGAATAAGCTTTTCGGTGTATAATGTATTAGTGGCTGATTTATCGCGGTGAGGTTGCGAGCCTTGAGGCTGCTACCGAGCTGAGCCGCCCCCACTAATGAGTGGCTAATCAGGATGAAGCTCGAAGGCGTGTTTGTACTCGAATTTATAGCTGCGTTGCGTGGATGCAAATCGTCATTTTCCTGCTCATCTATTTTTATTTAAATTAACAATACTATATATATGTATATTACATATATAGGGTAGAAGCCTTGATGGAAAGCTGGTGTTGTGACTCTTTGAACTACGGCTGCCCTGTTCTGCCTCTGGTCGCACCTTCCACGGCGATGGCCCTACTCTTCTCTACAGCAGGAAGTACCCCAGTACTGAGCACTTACCTTAGTACCTACTAACCTACCTGTAGCAGTACTTAGTAGACATATTCTATTTCTGAAATATACATGCAGCTCTACCAAGTATACTTACTGCGCACTACTAGGTAGCTTTTGCTTATGCGGAGTGCTAAATGTACCTTGAGAGGCAGCTTTATTAGCACCTACTAATTTGTTGCATTTGCGCTGATCCATGCACTGCAGATAAACCGCGGCAGAAGCTAGGTACTTGCATTTCCTGGCGCCACAGTTTGGCAGCCACTGTCCGTTACGCGTATTAGTCGATGGAGGCCGAAGCGTGGCCACAGAAGCCAACAGACTGCGATAGAAGCCTCTAAAAAGCGAGCAGTCGATGACTGTACGCCATGGTCGCTTGAAGCCCCGAGCCTCATGGTATGTTTTCCCGTGTCTTTTTCTTCTCTCTGTTTTGTCATTCCACCTCCGGTGCATGAAGTCCCACGCCTCAAAGTCTGCCATCCTTTCTGTGATAGGCTGCGGCCTCCAATTCTTCATGCAGCTGCAGCAATAAGCACAGTATCAGCCGAATTCATCTACGCCTCGCCAAGCGTGTTGCAGCCGCGCACTATCGCTGCACTAAAGCTGACCCCGAAACACGCTGCCCATAGGTGCTTCTAGGCGCCTATCTCAGACGCTGCTGCGCTAATAGTGCTCCATAGCAGCGACGTCGTACGGCAGCTGCCCCACCAACCACGGGGAACAAGCCTCCATTATTAACAATCGCAAATCTCGCCACAGGCTCATTCACTCCCACCTACCCATCCCATAGCCTGATCATCGGCCTACTGTATTCTTTGGCACTTCCCTGCTACGGCCCAGCATCTCTCATAAGCGCCTTTTTATCTCTGCATCGGCTGAGCGGCGGCTATCTGGATAATCTCTCACGACACTGCATCTCGGCCCATCGTCATTCTCTCCCCGCACAGCTCGCTGAATGGCTGATAACGCAGAGGCGGGCAGCGATGCCCAGATCACCTTCAGGGTCAAGACGTCGCAGGATGGCACCCACACCATTACCATGGCCGAGTCGGCGACCGTCCTCGACCTGAAGACGAAGCTGTCAACCGCCGAGTTCGAGAACATCCCGGTCGACCGCCAGCGCCTCATCTACTCGGGCCGCGTCATGAAGAACGACGATACGCTGGCAACGTACAAGATCAAGCCCAACAACACCATCCACATGGTCAAGAGCGCTGCCAGCAACCCCAGCCAGCCAGCCTCAGCGTCCACTCCAACCCCTGCAGCAGTGCCAACCAACATGGCCTCTGGTACCGCGAACAACCCTCTTGCTGGCTTGACTGGAGCTAGATACGCTGGCCACCAGATTAACCTCCCCGGAATGGACATGTTTGGCCCTGACGGCGGCGTAAGTTGACCTATGCTTGTTTGGTACCGTAGCCGTAGAGCAGTTTGTCGCTGACATTTGGGGGTATAAATACAGATGGGACCTCCCATGGACGAAGAGCGACTGCAGCGCATGATGTCCGATCCCAACGTGCAGCAGTCAATGAACGAAGCCCTGAACAACCCGGATTTCATTAATATGCTCATCGAATCGAATCCCATGCTTAGGAACATCCCCAATGCTCGAGAGCTCATTAATTCCCCGTTTATGCGACAGATGATGAGCAATCCGCAGATGATGACGCAGGCTCTACGGATGCAGCGGAATATGGGCCGACCTGAATCCGCATTCCCTGCTCCTGGAGCAACGGATACGACCCCGGCCGATGCGCCTGCGGCTGATGGTACAGCTGGCCAGGGGAACAACCAGCAGCAGAACCCTTTTGCGAACCCTTTTATGATGCCAGGGCTTATGGGTGGTGCTGGTGGTATGCCCAACCTCCAACAGATGCAGCAGATGCTCCAGAATCTGAATGCCATGACTGGAGGTGGTGGTGCATTCCCGCCTCCGCCAAGCGGCAACCAGACTGGCGCGGCAGCGGGAACGACTGGCCAGCAGCCCGCGGCGGAGAACCGAGGAACAGGAGGCGACGCAGGCGCTGCACAGACTCAGGGCGCAGCGGCGGCGAACCCCTTTGCAGCTTTGTTCCCACCCCCGGCAGCTGGAGGAGCGAATCCCTTTGCTCTGTCCCCGGAACAGTTCCAGCAGATGATGCAGGTGTTTGCTCCACAAGCAGCACCCTCACCCCCAGACAACCGGCCGCCAGAAGAGCGTTACGCAGAGCAGCTTCGACAGTTAAACGATATGGGATTCTACGATTTCGATCGAAATGTGGCAGCGCTGAGACGCAGTGGAGGAAGCGTGCAAGGGGCTGTTGAGCATCTGCTTGGTGGCGGCAACTAAGAGAGATATGGTCGCAGAGGAATCGAATTTCCTAGTATTAGGACCAAAAGCGTGAATAATGGACACGTCAACGTATTTAGTTATGGTGACCACACACAACGACGGCGCAAGCTTGTGGCGCTTTCGAGTGAGGAGATTTACGGACGACGACACAGGCTTCTTTTTCTTTGTTTCCTCCCTCCTCAGGAGCCGGATTTCAAGAGCTTGCGAGCATGGCAATCGGGCGCGATTCAATCAGTGTAATTTTTTATTTTCAGTGACGACAATACAAAGTATTCGCACATGGAGAATTGATATGATGGTGACGGCGATGATGGACTGTATATGCTGTGAATAGCGCTGGCTCCGCGGTGTTGTCTCATACATGGTAGGTAGAATGGTGCTCATGACTACCTACTAGGTAGTACCTCCCTGTAGTAATGTATATAAGCGCAGACTGTACGGCAGCGCGTCATTGATATAATAATAATAATACATGTATAGCTAGACATTTACGTGAATATTCATGCCGTGCCAAAAAGGACCTGGCGAATAAACATACAAACAAGTGGAAAAGAAGAAGAGGAAGAAGAATAGTATAAACAAACGGCTCTTAATTCTCCGCAGAATCTTGAATACAATCGGAGCGTGGGGCAACCGTTTCGGCAAACAGCGCCGCCGTCCGCGCCGAGCTTTTTCTGGAGATGCCTCGGCACCTCCTCCTATTTAGTTGCGTACCCCGGATTTAGTTCTTACGGGGGGGTTATGAGATGGGACACCTTGAACTCGGCGGCTTTTCATTTGCTGAGAGGCTTGAACTTTGCCTTTTTCTCCCTCTCCCTCTCTTCTCACTTTATAAACGGTCAAAGTTGAGTCTGACAAGTTAATCTCTTTGTTTATTGTTTATTTCTCCCTCTTCCCTCTTTGTCTTCTTGCAATCTCAATTGTTTTTCCTTATTCCCTACGTTTGGTAGTAGGCAGTTCTTCATCAGTTGCCAAGATGCGCGGCATTGAGATTCAGAAATATGTCAAGGTAAACGCACAATCAACTTTTTGTAACACAAAGGGAACGCAGCTAACTGGAAACTGTACAATTTCCATTGCAGAGCCCTGCAGAGCTCATAGTAACCAATCTGCCGGATCCCGTGCCCAAGGACAACGAGTATCTCATCGAGGTGCACGCCGCGGCAGCCAACTTCTTCGACATCCTGCAGGTTCAGGGAAAGTATCAGAACCAGCCACGTGAGCTATTCTAACCTCTTTTTTTTTTTCTTTCCTTTTCAAACTTTCAAACAGCTAATTTTTTTTCTCTTTCTTCAGCCTTCCCATGGATCGCTGGTGCTGAATTCGCCGGCATCGTCGTCTCCACGCCGCGTAGTAGCAGCAAGCCGGCCCGCTTCCCCGTCGGGACACGCGTCTTCGGCGCCGGACAGGGCGCCTTTGCGACGAAGCTGTGCGTCAAGGAGGATGCGCTGCTGCCGGTGCCGGAGGGCTGGTCGTTCCGGGATGCCGCGGGCCTGTATGTCACGGCGCCGACGAGCTACGGCGCGTTGGTGGTGAGGGCGGGAGTCAAGGCTGGGGATGTTGTCTTGGTGCATGCGGCGGCTGGAGGAGTTGGACTGGCAGCTGTTCAGGGTGAGTTTTTCTGATTTCTTTATTTGCAAATGAGAAAACAAGAGAAGAGAGTGGTGGGATATGAATGAGTGAAAGATGAAAACTGAGGATGAATGAGACTGAGATGCGTGAGACGGCTCACCTCTCCCACACCCTCTCTCATTCGTCATGCTCCCATCCAACATCATCATCAACTAACACAATATTCTCAAACTACAGTCGCCAAAGCCTTCGGCGCCACCGTCATCGCCACAGCATCCACCCCCCGCAAGCTCGAAATCGCCAAATCCTTCGGCGCCGACCACGTCGTCTCCTACACCGACCCGGACTGGCCCAACAAGGTCAAGGCCCTGACGCCCAAATCCCGCGGCGTCGACATCGTGTATGACCCTGTCGGCCTCGTCGACAAGTCCACAAAGTGCACCGCCTGGAACGGCCGCATCCTCATCGTGGGCTTCGCCGCGGGCGCTATTGAGAAGGTAGCCATGAACAAGGTGCTGCTGAAGAACATCTCGCTGGTGGGCATTCACTGGGGCGCGTATTCGATTCATGAGCGGGACATGATTCCCAAGGTTTGGGAGGGGATTATGAAGTTGGTCAAGGAGGGTAAGATTAAGGGCACCGAGTATACGGATGAGGAGTTTGTTGGGTTGGATAGGGTCAAGGATGCCCTGGTGGCGCTGGGAGGAAGAGGGACTTGGGGCAAGGTCATTATCAAGGTCCCTCAGGAGGGAAATAGCAGGTTGTAGATGTTGAATCAAGATAGAAAACGAGTCACACGCATCACATATTTACCAATAATACGAAGCAAAGCAAAGCAAAGCAAAGCATAGCATAGCAAAGCATAACCAATATCATGGCTCATGTCTTGTTATAGCATCTATCAACCCAAGAATATCTCTCTCATTTCGTCCACGTTATAACGTGTAAGCTCGTCATCCAAGTCGTATGCTCATTACCACCGCCAGGGCCCTTCAATTCATCCAAGCTCCCGAATATCCCCGCTTTCACTGCGATGTGCCATCCATAAGCCTCTGGAAAGCATCCATAACCTCCTTGTCCACATTTACCGCCCAATTCGCATGAAAAACCTCCTGGCCACCGATGCGAGCAACCAAATCCTGTAGTCTAGCCTTTACAAATTGCAGCGCGTTGACGCAGTGTATCGGATCTTTATGCTGGCTCTCCCGCTCTACAAGCAACCTGGGGGCATCATACTCAAATTCCTCAACTTCGGCCTCCCAAATCAGACAATCCGTGCCGTCTACTACGCCGTCTTGCAGATCCATGATAACGTTAATCCATAAATCTAAATAGTCCTGCAGCTTACCCAGCACCAGTTCCTGCATTGGCGAATTCAGCTCGAGCAGGCGGGTTAGAGCCAGGAGGTAGAGCTTCTGGCGATCGATATTATCCATCCTCGATTGGTAGGAGAACCATTCGGCGGAGAGCCAGCTCCATACGTCCTCGATATTTCCAAACGTGCTCAACATCTGCACAAACATATTCGGTTCAGCAAGTATGATTCTAGCTAGAATCGCAAAGTAGTCACCTTGCGTGATCGTATTGAGCTTGCTTTGTTTTCTGTTGGGTCCTGTGGTTTGACGAGCCTCCCACGCGTCATGGAGATTTACTAGAATCTTGTTCATGAAGCCTGTTTCCAGCATGTCTCCAACGAGAACCGAAATCCCCTGCGCGCCTCCAAGTTCGGCCGCTGACCGAATTAGGTATTCAATGCAAGTTGTGCCTATGCGGACATGTTCTCGGCTCTTGGAATCCAGAGTGCCGCTTAGCGCTGTCAGCATCGGTCGTCTCAGTGTGTCCTCCAGCATCGCCGAGGGTGCGATGATCACGTAGGATTCAATAGCTGACAAAGCTTGTGACACTGTTTCTGACTGATACTCAAGGAGCGGGAGTAGCATCTCAGCCAAATTGATAATCTCTTGCGAAAGCGGAGGCTTGCATTGCATGAGAATGGAGTTTAGGAGCTCCAATGACTCGTCAATGAGGTTGTAATGTAAGTCTGAGCCTTGCCTTGCAGCTTCAGCTAGTAAGGGAAGCATGTAATTCTGATAACGTTGGAACTCGGGGCCCATGCTCATAACCAAGGCTGAAAAAATAGCAATCACAGCTTGCTTAACCATGTACTCTTCTGTCCCTGTGCTTTGCCACACAGCAGGCAGAGCAGTCATGAGCTGGTCTCCAAACTGGCTTACTTGCTCTTCCATTCGCGTCACCAGAATTCGGATGGATTCAAGGATAGCTAGCTTTGTTTCGTCGCTTTCCACGTTCTGTACAAGGTCTACGAGGTTGCTGAGAACATCCGAAGTGTAGGGCAGAAAAGCCTCGACGTTGAAGTCAATCTCGTCGGCCACCCATCTGAGCTGCCTTGCTGCTGTAATCCTCACCACAATGTCATTCGTATCGTCGGCTGGAGATAGAAAATGTTGGAAAATCTGATATACGATCGGCCGGCTAGATTCCCCTAATTTGACTGGTGCCCATAGACTGATCAAGATGGCAATACGTCGCCGTAGAACCTTGTACAGACCACCTTGTTGCTGAGCATCATTCACAATGGCAGACGCTAGCACTGCGTCAAAGTCAAGCTGGTTAACCACGTGCGCTGCTGAAAGGCCCATGGCCGTATAAACGGCCTCCTTTGTAGGAATACCAGTTTGAGGAGACTGTACATTGTGGAAATATGATAGCAGCGGTGGCACCAAGAGATCCTTGAAATTGGTGAGTAGATCCAAGAACAGCTTCTCGGCACATGGGCGAACTTCCCATTCATACGCACTACCTTCGTGCTGCTCCTGTTGCTCCCAATCTTCGGGATCTTCTTCCCAAGCCTCAAGATCCGATCTGCGGAAGACAAACAAGTGGGTGATGATAGTGTTGACCATTTGTATTACTAAATCATCTTTGAATAGCTCCGTCCTCACAATATTCTTTGCCTCTTCTAGTTCAGCTTTTGTCTCTTGCGTCCGGTACTTGAATGTTTGTACTTGCGAAAACGCGATTCTAACACAAGCACGAAGAAGAAGCAACCCTTTCAAAGCAAGCTTTTCCATGAGAGGGCCTTCTGTCTTGCTCTTGGCTCCTGAATCTCCAGAACCCTGACGGATACCACCAGACGAAGCAAAGACTTCAGCAAATTTCGAAATGAGGTCCCAGTACGCATTGACAAGGGATAGCGAATTGGGCAGAAAAGCGAAGCTAGCAGGAAAATGCTCGGCTTGGTCGATGTGGAACTTGGAGAATTGGAGGAGATGCTTCCCCACCAAGTCTTGGTATGGTTCTGGCACGCCAGAGTCGACAAAGCCAAGGAATTGGCCAAACTGGTTTTGAGACAGTGTCCAGAACTGGCTTACTGAGCTGTCGGCGTGAGGCCGCGCGTAGCCAACACTGATGAGGCGACGGAGGGTCTTTAATGCCGAGAGACTGTTCATCATGGCCAGATTGGCTTCATCGCTATTTCCCTGTCCAGTGCTCAAGTAGTTGATCCATATTGATGATTTATCTGAGTATATCTCCGACAAAACGTAAACAATCTCGGGCGTAACTGATTGCAGCGCTGTTTGCGACTTTCTGAGCCGTGCAGTCCCCATCTCTTTGATGACTTGCAGCAGAACCAGCAACGTGCCGTAAAGATGATATTGATTGGCGTTCCTAGTGGACCGTAGGAGATTGATGATACTGGGCAACGCATCTGGCCAGTCCTCAGGATAGTCGATCCGGATTATTTTAGCAATGACCAAGGCGTTGTGTAAAGCAAGATGTTTCTCCTCTTCCTCGACCGATCCCTGAAACAACCGTGATCGAATCAAGCTCTTCTCTTCGGCAGGTATTCCATTCTTTAAATGCGCATGCAATCTCCAACACTTATCTATGCCGTTTTTAATCTGTATTATCGCCAGAAATCGAATTTCGAGAGGCAAGGACTTGTCTAGAAACACCGACTTTCAAGAAAGGAGCAGATACATGTTAGCCGCTACGAGGCCGATACAGCGAGGATGGAGCAACGACAGAGCATACCTGTAACGAAGAATAATAGCCAGGCTGTGATTCCCAGGTAGTGAGCTGCTGGCCGGCAGCCTGTCGTTGGACGTGATCTGAAGCAGTGGTTGCTGCGTGCAGCGTGCGGCACAGCTCCTCTAGAGACAGCGGAGCCGCGTCGCCTGGTACTTCGATTGCGAAACTCATGGCTGCTGCCGAAGCCGTCGAGGCGGCTGCTTAAGCTCTGGTGCGATGGCTGCGAAGCCGGTAGATTAAATAGAAACGCGAAATTAGTATGAAAGTAGCGAAGCGAAAGTCGAGGTTCCAAAAGCTGTAGGTGCTAATAGAATAGCCCAGCGCTGGGAGATGGTGGGGCTGAGTTCGTTGGCTGCTCAGTGTGAGAAGCAGATGGAGGGGTAGCAAGAGAAGCACAGGCAAATAGTAGGCGGGAAGAGGTAGCAAGGCTGGAATAGTAGTAAATCTATAGTAGAGCAGCAAACAGAGATTACATCGGTATGGAGTCTTTTTGAAATACACGTATATGCATTAGTACTTGATATGATACTTTTCTAGAGCCATAGGTAGCATACCTTATCCGCCCCTTAGCCCGAAATCGTGCCATTCACCACTGGTCCAAAGAGACATTTGCAGCGAGGACCCTTGGCCCCGTTAGCGCCATTATATCAGCCTATGCCCCACCACGAAGAAGATGCAGGTTCAAGCTTCAACTTCTCCATCGTTGGACCTCGAGGCAAGCCATTGCCCGCTGGCATTGGCACGTCCACAGGTCATGATCCGCTCACGCACTTCCAGGCTCGCAGCCTCTGCCCTCATGAGGAGGCAATGGACGTGCCCAGCATGCTTGTCCAGGCGCCAATACTCCAAGCAGCCCGAAAAGCGCGAACCGCCCGATCATCGGAAGCTGGGCAACCAGCAGGAGCTCTTCATGACGTCGATATATAGCCCCGGCTCGCCTATTTTCCTACCCAACGGTGCTCGTATATTCAACCGACTCGTCGACTTCTTGCGGAAACAGTACGTGCGATATGGATTCCATGAAGTCATCACGCCGACGATATACAAAAAGTCGCTGTGGGCAAAGTCGGGGCATCTGGAGAATTACGCAGAAGATATGTACGCTGTGACGGGCAACAAGAGGGCTTCTGACGTACAAGGGGCTGCAGGGTGCTGTGGGACGGATCACGCCAAAGATCCAGTGGAGGAAGACGACGATTATGGCTTGAAGCCCATGAACTGCCCTGGGCACTGCTTGATCTTCGCATCCAAGCTGCATAGCTACAGAGATTTGCCGGTCAGATACGCCGACTTCAGCCCGCTCCATCGAAACGAGATATCAGGGGCCCTGTCAGGGTTGACCCGGGTGCGTCGATTTCACCAGGATGACGGCCATATCTTCTGCAGGCCAAGTCAGGTGGAGGGAGAGATCAAGAAGACGTTGGATTTTGTCAAGACAGTTTACAGCGTTTTACGCCTTGGTGTCAGCTACCGCTTAGCATTGTCTACACGACCAAAGGATCATTACATTGGCACAGAAGAAGAGTGGGCGCGCGCCGAGGACAGCTTAAAACGAGCGCTGGACACTTCAGGCATGCAGTGGACAGTAAACGAAGGCGATGGTGCATTCTATGGCCCCAAGATCGATATCGTGCTCAAGGACTCGGAAGGCAAAGAGCACCAGACTGCGACAATTCAGCTGGACTTTCAACTACCTAAGCGATTCGAGTTGGAGTACCAGGCACCGGCTCCGGAGTATGAAGCTCGCGGCGAGACGACTGAAGATCCAGAGCTTCTCGCCCAGTATGGCCCTGTTCGACCTGTGATGATTCATCGTGCGGTGCTGGGATCTGTTGAACGGCTGCTGGCGCTCTTGATCGAGAACTATGACGGGAAATGGCCCTTTTGGCTGAACCCGAAACAAGCCATCATCTTGACGGTTAATACGTCTGATCCAGTCGTAGAGTGGGCTGATGAAGTACGCGACATCCTCCTCGGCAACAAGAAGCAGAAAGGGGATGACGTGCCCGCTATCGAGAGCCTCTCAGGGCAGACGGGCCTGGCCGTAGATATGGATATCACTCCGAGATCACTCGGGACCAAGATTCGGGAGGCACACGCGAGTGGCTACGGCCTTGTCTTGGTGGTGGGCGAGCAAGATGTCAATAACAAACAGGTCAGCTTGGGCAAAGAAAGGCTGAATCCGGCTGAAATGCGCGATAGAATGCTGCATATGGTAGATACATTCGAATAAAACACTCTCCCATCTATTCCCACCCAAAAGCGCCAATGGTAGTAACCTGTATCCCCTTTTCTGACCTCCAATCCCACTGAAGCCGACGTGTATATAGTATATAATGGTATAATAGATTCGCTTAGAAAGCAATCAGGGCTGGGACTCGGACTCGATGACATACACTACTTCTTGTCCTGTCCAGTGCCGCTGTTCCAACTGCGAGTTTTCCCGCTTTTAGATAAAAGATTAATCCAGTTCGCTTCATGATGCTCTGTATCTCTTTTCTCACTGGCGCTTCACTCAAAGGCTCGGTCACTTAGGCTCGGTCACTTAGGCTCTCATGAAAGATCATCGGCTGTTATGGCCTTGCCTTGAAAGATGTGTGACCCTTTTCCACCAAGTTAATCTCCATCACCGGCCAGTGTCTCATTCACTCACTTTTTGAACTTGGGGTCGACATCTCCACCTGCTTGCTCGACGCGATCAATCAAGGCCTGCCTCTGCACGAGCTGCTCGCGCATGTAGTCCACCGTCCTCTTCAGCACTAGTCCCTCGGAGCGACCCTGGCCCTGCAGACCAGGCACGAGTTCCGTCAGCCGATCAAAGCCCTCTCGAATGGCTTGGCGGCGCTTCTGTTCTGAGCGCCATGTTAGCTTTGAGCAAGGACGAGCCTTGGGACCACAGGCCCAGGCATCGCGCGTTACTTGCCTGATGCGATGTGATTCTGCTTCTTCTCCTCTTCTGTGAGGCGCGGCTTGTCGTCGGCACTGGCCGCAGGCGCAGACGAGTTTTTATTTGCGGCATCGGCAGACGAGCCTGAGGTTTGGCTTGGCGACGTTGACATTTTCGTCGAGATGCTATGCTGAGCTGCTAGGTAGGTGGATGGAGAGAGCTTATGCGTGATGCGATGAGCACATGCAAATTAGGACACCAGCGCGCATTACTAGATAAAGATCGAGATTTGAAGAATTGACAGCAATCATTTAGGCAGAGCAAAAAGAATGGAACGAGTAGGGAATAAAGGCAGCGATAGAGAGGCAGTCCGTGGCCCAGCAGATGCGCTATTCTTCGTTTTTATTTGGCGTGGCACGACACCAAAGCGTCGAATGTCATTGCTGGAGATTTTGGGGGATCACATGCATGCGTTGCACGCGCCGTGCTAGCTAAGAGAAAATTCGAATGGACCTGAAAAAGCACTAAAACAGCACCAGCAGCCACCGGCCGCCAGGCCTGTTACAGCGCTAGGAGGAGCAAGGATCTTGCCCCAGATTCTCGGGGCCGAAGTGCCGGTCCCTGCGTCTAGCTAGGGAGCAGCTGGGCTAGTAAACGAGATTTGAGTCTGGTGAAGTAGCATTGCCTTCTTCTAGTCTTAGAATTGATATATATAGAGGCGTTGAGTTCTGTAAGTCTTGCTTTTTTTTTTTTTTTTTTTTTTTTTTTTCACGTGTTTCAATTGCTGCTCCTCGCAGTTTGATGTACGATGAGCTGTGCAGCATGCCGAGCTCCTGCTTGCTCCCTGTTATTTATGCGACCCTAAGATTTCCGATTCCGCCCCATGATGCCAATCACATGCCAAAATAGCACTTGCTCCGACCAATGCTCCATATAGACAGAGAACTCTTCGTAACTCCTTTTGTAGCACCCATCGTAATTGAGACAACTCACCTCGGTTGAGTTGCAGGAAGCTTTGAAAGGGACTGGCATTTCCCTTTTACTTGTGAAAATCACAAGCTTGCTTGGCTTCATGTCATCTTGATCATCTTCACACAAGGCACAAATCTGACCCGTAGAGCCTATGCGAGGGGCGTTGAAGCCATGACGCTGGCACTTTTTCAGTCTCCATCTCAAGTCACACATCTATTTCTCATTCTGAAGCTGATCCTTCATCGTCAAACTCGTCTCGATCTTGCTGGAAGACAACCTTCTCTGCCAGGGTCAAAGTTCGCTTCACAGGCAGCCCGATTACATTATCAACGCTTCCCTCAATCTTCTCCACCAACAGCATGCCTGCAATGCCTTGGATTCCGTATCCACCAGCCTTGTCGACGCCTTCTCGGGTTTTGACGTAAGCCTCAATCACATCATCGGGCAGTCCGTTCCCTTCTTCCCAAAAGTAAACCTTGGTCTCCTCTGTATGGGATTGGATGTCATAGCCCGGAGCCCTGGCATCTTCTCGGGGAGCCAGCACCGTAACTGAAGTCAAAACTCTGTGCATGCGCGTGTCACGTAGGATCTTGAGCATCCTGATGTGGTCTGCCTCGCTCCGAGGCTTCTCCAGGATGCGGCCATCACGAGTGACAATAATGGTATCAGCGGCAATAACAAGAGCAGGATCAGGGATGGATGCAAGATTGGTCTCTAAGCTTGTGGTGTAAACGTCAAGACACTTGTTGTGAGCGGTAGTGGCGACATATTCCCAAGGTCCATACGCCTTTTTGTCCAGATCCTCAGGTTTGGTTGATGGAGTAATCTCCAGATTAGTGAAGCCGATCTAAAATGGCAGAGGTTGTGTTACTTTTAGCGCTAAAAAAGACTGCCGTCATTCGTTATAGCGTCATACCTGCTGCAGAAGCTGTTTCCTCCGTGGAGAGGCGGATGCCAGAATTACTCTCTTTGAATTAAGATGCCTGATAATGGGAATATCAAGGGGCTGCAGCGGCCTGCGCATAGATCCGGCTCGAGGACGCCCAGCGGCTGGGCCGGCAGAGTCCGGGCCGGCGTCACCTGGAGCTTTCGCGGTCGACATTGTGTGTGAGGGGAGCTGTTAATTGAGGGGATTATACAGCAGTGCACACAGATTGCAATGAGAAATGCGAGGCCCAGGGACAGGAGCAAGGCGGTATAGGTTTTAAGGAGCTCAAATCGTCATTGATGGTGGGGTCTGCCATCGACCCCACCGTCCGGTACAGTAGTCTGTAGAATGACTGATTGTTTGAGCGCCTCAGTCGCCACAAGCGGCAGCTTCCGCATGCAGCGTGTCTTTAGGCAGCTATTTTTGGGGGTTGCGAGTTGGAACACTGATTGCGTTATATAACCTCTCACCAGGTTCTTTTTTTCTTCTTCTCTCTCCTGTGAAATAGAAGCCCGAGTATTGATGTGTATATCAAATACCTAGTCCTTACTAGAGCTGTTACACTGTAAACTGCTGGGCGTTGTATCTTATAGTGGCGCACAACTCATTATCGATTCGCTTTTTCATGAATAAAAACATATACAAACTTCAATGAGAGAATACGACAATGAAAATTCACCATTTCATCACTCACTCGGCAAGCCAATCTGCCACAATCATTCCCGACCATCGTCCTCGTCAGCTGGAGTGAGCGGCTGCCTCGTGGCCGGATCGGGAATAGTCTCGGCCGCGGTACCTGGCCACTTGTACCTTGGCGAGGTACCCGTCCAATGTACCCGTTCGTCGCTGTTCAACTCGCGCCCTGGAGCGAAAAAGCCAAAACTTCGGCCTCCAATAAACAGCATCCAACGACACTAAAGCACTCATTGCTTCTCTAGGCCTGCCATCGCCGTGTCCACAAGCTGAATCAGCCATCCCTAGAGCGTCAAGTGCATCGATCCGCGCTGCCAGTTTCCGCTGCTGCGAGCAACTACGCCTGGGTGCAAAAATTACCACTCCAAAAGCCATCGCCGCTCCAGAGCACTGTAGCGCGCGCGACCTCCCGCCACCACCAGAAAAATAGCATCCATCAACACGCGTCACTCCACGCTGGCGATAGCTGTCGCCGGGCCGTGGTTTGCGACACGGGACTCACGAAGCCATTGCGTCTTCACGACTGCGGAGCAGGTCCCTCGCCGCCGCCGACGGTAATGCGCCTGCTGTAACGCTGACTATCCAGACAAAAATGGAGGCCAAGCGGAAGGCAAATGGAGCCACCGATGCAGAGGACCGCAATGCGAAGCGGCGCAGAGTGGCTGTGAGTATGATCCAATATAGACCTCGAGATGGCAAGCTTCAGTTGCAAGAGCTGTCGCTTCAGTGCTGCATTCAGCGTCCCCCTACCTTGCCTTTCTTGACATCCTTTTCTCTATATTTATTGTCAGAGGGACTGCCTGCATCCGCATCCTGCAATCCCGCAGTTCGCGCGCACAGATGAAGATCGTACATTTGCATATCGCATGCCGTGCCGTTTCCGCGCTAACAGCCCTGTCTACAGCAAGATTACGATCTGTCCAAGGGAGAATCCCGCGAATCGACCACTGCACATGGACTGGTATTCCTCGACCAGATTCGTCGGACGGCCGACAAAAGGTACACTCACTGCAGCCGCCGCAATTGTTCTTTTAAACTAACTGTATCGCAAAAGTGGTCGTCTCGTCGCCACATGCTTTGAGGAGCTCGTCTCGCGCGAAAGCAACCCCGACTACTACAAAAGGACGCGACTGCCGATCTCTCTCCAGACCATCGAAGAAAAGCTCAACAATGGCGATTTCAAGACCCTTGCAGAGCTGGAAAGCTATTTCAAGCGCATGATTGCCAATGCCAAAGAGTATTATACCCGCGGATCACAAATCTTTGACGATGCGGAGCGAGTCCGCAAAGCGCTGAGCAACTACATGACCAAAACAAACCCTGCATACAGCAACCGATCCTACCAAGCCGTCCCTACCCCGTTGCCGCCAGAAAATCCAGATGATGAAGATGAAGAGGAAGGAGATGCAGAAGGTGAAGAAGAGGGGGACGAGGATGCTGACGGCGAGGATGCCGAAGACGCTGAGGATGGTGAAGGCGAAGATGAAGATGCAGACGGTGAGGACGAACCTGAAGAAGACGAGGAGCCAAAGTCAAGACGAAAAGCCATCATCCTCAAGCGGAGAGGACCCAGCCGTACTAGGAGGGGCTCGAACAACGACAACTCGAGAGCTCGGTCACCACCAAGTCGTCCCGATCACGAGTACGAAAATGTGCCATACAAAGGGCTCACTTTCCAACAAGCTCAGGAGAAGATTGTGGAAGAACTTTTGCGACACCAAGAACCAGAGTATGTGGAATCAACCTACCCTCTAGATGTCAATACCCTTTTCTTCTTATTCTTCTTCTAGACTAACTCGGTACATTTTTAGATATGACGATGCCTATTTCGAGCCTTTCATTAACCTCCCTCCTCGAGCCTTAAGGGACTACTACAAAGTCATTACTGATCCTCTGTCTCTCAAGAAACTACAGAAAATCGTCAAAGGCGTGCATGGACGGCACGACGCCACTGGCGTGAGCGACTTCAAGACGTGGAGCGCCTTTGAAGAGAAGTCAAAACTCCTCTGGACCAATGCCTATTTCTACAATGAAGAAGGTAGCGATATATATGTGCTAGCCCAAGAACTTGAGGTAAGCATGCATAACAGCATCATTCTAACGCGTTCGCAAATCTGACCACCGAATCAGAAAATGTTCTACAGCCACCTTAAGAAGGCTCAGGCAGCTGTCTCAGAGCCATTTCAGCAGAAGATCAAACTTAAAGTTGGACAAGGAGGATCTGAAACACCCGGTTCATCCAAGAAGATCACTATCCACGTTGGCGGACGGGACAGCTCCGTAGCCTCGCCAGCCCCTCAAGCAACCCAAGCGCCAGAGGCCAATGGTGCTCCTAATGCCAATGGCTCTGCTCAGCTTTCAGCCAATCTCGAAGCTCCTCGAAGTATCTCGGCATCAGCGCCCTCTCCGACTCCCTCATCACAGGTAGGGCTGAAGGTAGAGGATGGTTCGAGGGCATCTCCAGCCGTTGCCAACTTGCCAGCTGGAATAGCAGGACAAATGGGCCCGCGACCTCCTATTCCTGCGATCCCATCTCAGCCATTCCAAACCAATCCGCTCGTAAATGGCTATGCGGATCAGAGAAGATTCCGGCCTACTGGTAAAGGTATGGTGCACATCTTTGTTAATGTCGAGGCTGCCATTTGATAAAAGGTACTAACTTTGATTTCAAGGCATCGATAGCGCACTGATTGAAAAACTACGAATTCAAACCCATCCCAGTGTCCCGAATGAGCGCCCTACGCTGCTCACAATTCTGCCAAATGCAAAGGAGATGCAACAATCCGCGACCATCAACTTGCCGCCTACGCAGACTCGCATCTGGATTGTCGTAACACTGCCGTCTTTCCTACAAGATCGTCAATATAGCCTCTGGACGCTAGTGGACAAGCAGCCTTGGAAGCAGTTGATGCAGCCTATTCCTAATCAGACACACCACGAAAGGGCGTTTGATGTTATGCTGCATCCTGGGCTCAACGTCATCGAAACCCATCTTATCGCCGCAATTCCCCGTCACGAGAGAGAGCCAGGGGGGCCTGAGGCGGAACTAGAAGTGTTCACTGTGCTTATTAACGTGTCGCGGCCTTACTAGACGCTGAATGCATCTTAATCAGCGGGTGTCATTCGATTGGATCCGGAGTAGAGTGGGCAACTGCATCCATGTCTACTCCGAGTCTCTTAGCGGGGCACTGTTCGGGCCAACTCTGCACACCCCTTACTTATACGAATCAAAAGTATCGAAAATGGTAGGAGGTGAAGTGGGCGCGGTAGTCGGCCTTTACCGAGTTGCTATTACGGAAACCTATGGTTGGAGTTACTGGTACCAGGTAGCGAGCGACTCAACAAAAGTCTGGGCTTTTTGGGTGGAACCTCTGGCTAGGTTATGTTTTTTTTTCTTGATTTTTCCATTTTTAATTATTTCGGCCGAGTACGAGCAAAGGGCCAGGGCTGATCCCTGTTTTCCGGCTGCCCTATATAATGCCGTCGGGTGCGGATGTGGGATACTGCAGGTATCGGTGTCATCCTCGTGGGCAGGTTTATGTACACCATCACCAGTGGCCGTGCAGTCAGTCTCAGTTTGGGTAGTGCGGTATTACTATTGCTGGGCAAGTAATCAATGAGATTATTTGCAGTGTCTCTAACCGTGGAATATGCTGCAACGGACGGTAGACTTTTACGAGTATTTAGTACAGAGGGGATGAGAAAGAAGGGAGAAAAAAAAAACTAACTGTTTTATTGATCTTTACGCTCTAGTAGGCTTACATGTTAGGAAAGTAATAGAGAACGTTGTGCTGATTTAATCCTCGGCCGATTGCCTCTCAGATTCTTGAGCCTTATGCTTGAGTCAGGTTTCCTTGCCTTTTTGGTGTGAAATATGTATGCGGTATATCGTTAGCGAGTTATTAATTTATCTTTTGTCTACACATGTATCTGGACATCTAGCGAGATGGCTAGCTAGAAGATGTACTTTCTTAACGTAGGCATATTTACGGTAGCTAGGGTACGAGTTGAGCGAGATAGACCGGGAGATATACTGGCTGCCCTGGCATATGCTCTCACGGAGCAGTTCACAGTTCAGTACAGGAAACTAAGCTCAGCAACATGCTCACTATGCGGCAGCCTAAGTATGAGTGGGAACACTGATCCCTGCCGAATGCCACTGAGCATGGGACTACTTGTATAAGTAGACGGGCATACGTTTCGGGTATACCAGACAAAACAGGCGCTGTTAAACGCGAGACGAACGTAATTGGCGAAGAAAAATAAGATCAATAAAATAGATAATAAAAGTAAATTACAATTAATCGATAAATTCGGTACATGGTATTTATCCATTAAGTGATTAGTATTCTAATTAATATAGGCTCATCGCTAGGCCAGCCCTAGACCGCTGAGCTAAGAAATGATTGCGGTTGCAGATTACACGGCATGATATTTTACATTTGTCACTGAGTCATGGGTTGTTTAATAAATTAGTGTCTATATACTAGCTTGTTTGCTGCATAGTTGACAGGTGGAAATAGAATATTCAGATACAAATTCAAGGTTTCGGAATATAGGTAGTTTGTTAATACTAATACTGCTGCAACTTTTTCGCCTCTCGAGTTATCAAGTCGTCTAATCATCAACGTGTAAAACCAGAAGAATAAGTAAATGATTTAAATAGTCGATTGGTCGATTGATTGGTAATAATCTTGAAGGCCGTGTTCCTGATCAGTCCGAAGAGATTGAAAAGCGGCACATACGTGTTGGCCGCCAGTATGCCGCTCTGAGTGTGTTAATTCAGGGCGTTAGTTGAAACGATAAATGGTTTATACAAAGTACCCATTAACCTGAACCCAACATTGTTAAGCAGTGTCGCATTCTGAGTAAAAGAGTACAAAAAAAGCTTTTTATTAAACTGCTCCTCAAAAGCCCTGTTCAAAGTGTAGTCTTTCCTCAAAAGAGTAATGCGTATGTATGATTTGTTCCCAGCCCGAATCGGCTCAACTAGTAGGTATCTCTGTAACACGAGGCCTGCGGGCCTATTGCTTACGCCTAAAACAAGTTTAATCGCATTATAATCTAGCGGGAGTAGTATTTCATTCCATTAGCGCCGCGGATTCTTTCGGCGTTGATGGTGCTGTGGGTAATACGCATTTCATGAGCTCTGTGTGGCAGTCACAAGATTAATCCATACGGCACCTTCAAGGCATCGTCACTGGGAATAAGTGTAACACAATGAGAAGGTTAGTCGCCAGCGGCATCATTGATAGAAGACTGCGGATGAATGATTATTGAATACTCTTATTGGTTAGGTGGTTTTAGCCAAATCGTCATTCTATACAATCGAATTGTATCTACTAGCTATTTTTAAGAATGCTGACTAGGCTTATGGCCGATACAAAGCTCCGAAAACTGATACGTCAACATACTACACTCAAGCACACTCGGCCTCGCCGATGCAACCTTTATACGAAAGCGGCTTATACGAAAGCTGCATTCGGCGAACCTGTTCATCGTTATTTCCGTGAATTTTACTGTTCATTGTCTGAGCGATGTGGGTGCGGATCCCCTTGAACGTGTATTCTCTGCGATTATTGTAAACCTTGGAAAGTACTGGATCAAGATACGTATTGTTGGTCTTTGAAACTTGAGACATGATCACAATGCATGGACGTCACTCCACAGAGGAAACGAGATGCCTAAAGAATTTCTCGAATCCAAAGTTAAATCTAGCTATGAAGACAAGTAAAGCATATTGACACATTTAGGTAATTGATCAATGAAAGCAAGAGTTGGTGTATAACCACATAATGACATAATGTCAAGTTTTGGATAAATATAGTGGAGACGCCATACAAGACACATTACGACGGCGGAAGTCTGCAATTGATGATAATGGATATAAATGATTCCGTAGGGGCATGACTATTATTTCGATTTTTAACGCGTAGTATACGCAATTGTGTGATTGGATTTCTGTAAACGCGAAGAGCTATGTACTTTATTTCAAAACAGGCAAATTAGTGGAAGTCAAATGAATCAAAACGAGTGGTTCATCAACTCTTGGCTCTGACTATTTGCGTTTCAAAACTTTATAGCACTGGTGGTAACTCAGATTTGCGTGGCTGTGGCTTCTTAACTGCAGGATATCCGCTCTTACACTTCAAAATGACTGAATTAGACCGGTAGCTAGAGACCTATCAGTCAATGGTTTCACCCAATTAGTAAATAGTTTGCCTTCAGGAACCGGAATAAGTGTAGTGGCAAATTAGCAAGTTATTTCTCGATGATCAGTGAAGAATAATGTTGAAGCTGAATCTGTCATTGAGAAGAGACTTAACTTGAAAACATTGCTGGAGAGGGGAATAGCATTGTCTGGCTTGGTGAAATGGCAATAGTTCTGAGTATGGCTGGGATGTCAGGAATTGGTGACAGCTTACTCAGTCATGCATTAGTAGTCAATGCTACAAGCATGACTCGTCGCTTCTTCCGCTTTGGGCACAGCAGTGTCATCTTAAACTACCTAAAACACCATAGTCTAGATAACAAAACATGGGCTAATATACCTTGCACTCCGCTACTTACTAACGAAAAATCGAACGCCGAGAGGTCATCAAGGGATAAAACGGAGAGAGCGAAACTATATGCTGCTTGAAAAGAAAGGAAAATAAATAAAAAATAGAACAACATAAATTAATATAACATCATATAAAACAAATGTAATAAATTTCATGCGTATGTCGACCCGCATAATTAGACAATTTATGTTGAAGCTTCCTTTTGCTTTATCCGACGCTTTTTTCATTCCCAACACCTCATTGCCTCACTTTAATTCTGGTGAATCACCCATCGTAGCTATAGCAAGTGGAGATGTTATGTGAGGTGGTATGTAATCTAAAGTCTTTACTTGCCTACTAGTAAGGTACTCGAATACTGTTGTTATACGTTGTCAATGTTTCAACAAATTTTAAACTTCGAATGCAGCAGGAAAAAAAAAGGATCTTGAAGCTTTCTGCGGTTACTGCATGCAATGTATTATGTTTATGTTTGCGTGCGAGTACAATCTTTCTCTAGGATCTGATCTAGGGGTGGTATCGTAAAGTAAACCCAAAAGGAGGCCCATAACCCCAGCGCCGATCCATGCCATGTCATAACCAAGCCCTAATGCTACTATGTGCTCAATATTGTACATATATAAAAAAACGAAAGTCAAATGCGTGCCAAATGTTCATAGAAGTTAACTCCCGCCTGCCGGTCTCTGCTTCAGCTGTATTAGATGCTTCAGTCCAGTCTGGACGCCCATATACTTTCGTTGCTTTGGGTCGTACCATCCCAAGACATACACAGCCATGACCGCGGACTTCCCCTGCAACTCCACAAGTCCATCAACTCTGATACAGCCTCTGCTTGGTGGCTGCTTTGCAGGCTGCCAGTTTTTCGTAAACGTTACAGTAGCTGCTTGGAGGGCCGCTTGAATTCGTGGATCGACTTGGCTTACGCCACTAAACGGTGTGCCAGGGATTTCGCTGATTCCGGTGTGAAGAGGGAAATTTGCCTTCTCTGGTTGTCCTGGGACTCTGACGGTTTGTTTGCCAGTTGTTCCGAGTTCACCTTGTTCCTTAATGCGCTTCAGGATGGCAGCCTGCCATGTGGCCTCGGGTGGAGGTGGTGTGTTGAAACCCAAGGCTTTGGCAATGTCTTGGGCTGTTTGTCTGGTCAATGAATCGATAAACGTCCACACTGATAATGCTACCGCCTTGGGATATATGGCCGTATTAAGGTGGTTTGCGGCCAACGAATCCATCGGCCGATCGCCCCAGAAGATGCCGTCGTCATCAATAATTATGCTGAGTAGTTATGTTAGCATACGCCAAGTGAGGACCAACCACCTCGTGGCTTACCCAGAAACATAGTGTTTAGGAGGTGGTGCAGGAGGATAAATAATATCCAGCCACAATTTTTTAAGTTTAATATCTCGACCGCCAAGCAATTGAACATAGGCGGGATTTCTCTCAACTCCTCGTCTTATAAGTTCTGCCAGCCCCACTGTAACAAATAGGTTAGCGATTATCAAGTGCCGGCGAATTCTGCCCTTTGAACTTACTCTGGATGTCTTTTTGCAACTGCCGATCTTTATTAACAGCGATAAATGTCGCCCACTCGGGATCCGAGCCCTTGTACGGTGGCTGTCGGACCTCCTTCGTCGTAAATGGGAACGGAAGGAAGAGTATAGGTTCGTCCTCATCCGCCATGTCTTCCATCTCTTTCTTTTCCTTCTCCGATAAAGCCTCCCATTCGTGATCTGCCCAGTCTAATAGTGGATCAAAGACAACGGTAGCGAAGATTTGCCAACAGGCATACGCAGCCATTGTTGTGAAAAGTGCGCGGCTGTACCTTGAGATTAGTTCATGGAGTATCGTACCGAGTGAGCCGCTGTGGCAATAGCATAACCTACCCTAACTGGCGTCGGAAGGCACCCGGTTTAGGTGAGCTGCTGGGTCGCGCAAAATAAACCGGGAGGCCCTCCGATGCTGGTTTATTCCGCCATGGTAGAAACGATATCGGCCGTCTAATAGAAGGGATGCGATGGGCGGGGAAATGCGGCGTCGCATTCGTTAAGACGGCTGCGTGTCGCGGAAGGGCCGCTGCGCGCCGGAGCATCCCGACTTTGAAGTGTATGAATTTTATCTCCAAGCAGTATAAGAATCAAAATGAATCATGAAAGGCAAAGAAATGTAATACAACGTCACAAAAGCAAGCGCATGGTGTATTTCGAGATATGGCGATGGAGAATGGAGAAGAAGTTCTATAATGAGCACGGCATATGATTACACATTTGTCGCATGTGGTTACGCAGGGGTCTGTGCCGGAACATCTTGATCCCCGATATCCCGATGCACCCAACCACAACGAGCTAGTGTCAACCTGAAGCGTCACCTACGTACTTCATACTCTATCGGTGCAACTTGTAACGCCGAGCCCTTTTTGCGCGTGTTCACCATCACCAGCAGCTTCTACAAGGACGAAGATCATCATGAAGGTCACGCTGGGCTTTGCCGCAGCCTTTGTTGGCTGTGTTGCAGCTTCGCAGCCTAATGCCGATGTCTATATTTTGCCGAATCGCGAATCCTCGTCGCCGCCGTCCGTCTCCAGCAACGTCGCCCGACTGATTGCATTACAACGACTTTCCTCCGGTCGAAGCATTTCCGTCAATGAAATCCCGAAAGACGCTGATGTCGAAAACGTGGCCTCGTTGCTTATCGAATTTGGGAAGCCGATCCCTTCGATATTCGATGAAGCCGCCGATGAGCCCAACCAGCTGATTATTGCGATAAAGGGAATGACAGAGGAACAAATCAGGGATACAAGAGAAAAGCTGAACGTGCAGCCTGCATTCACTATCCCGGACGTCCCTTCTGTTGATCCACTACAATGGATCACGGATTTCAACCCTGCCGACTATCATGGCGCGGCGAACCCCCAGAAGTGCTCTTTTGATGAAATAATTAATCCCCTCGATGAGCGATGCTGGGCCGGAAGGACTATGTTTGCCGAATATGATATTCAAAAGGTACGCGCTGAGAAAGGAGGACAAATGGATGCACTGTGAAACACTGGAAGAAATCATTTAACTGACACTGTACCTTGCTCTTGATAGGGACCGCAGACCTTGGGCGATGTGATCCATAGCTTCTCTCGACTCGACTCTCTTGCCAAGATTGGCGAGATGCAAACTACTTTGTTCCTCCTCCCAGATGTCAGCGGCCATTCGGGCTCAAAGCAAGGGACCGGCCAGCAACAGGAGCTTCGTCGCCGCCAGGCAGAGAGGGTGCTCAATTCATTTCACAAGGCAGCCCATGTGGAACAGACCTCGCCAGCACCTAACAATATCCTCAGAACCCCCTCAAAGGCTATTCCCGCTTGCTTCGACTCTCTGGATAGCTGCGTCACAGGCACTGGAAATTGCTCGCACCAGGGACAATGCCTAAACAAGTATGGATCTGCGGATGCTGGTGGTTCAACTTGTTTTGCATGCCACTGCCTTAGCACCAGGACAGGCGAAGATGGCGCCCTAACTCATTGGGCAGGACCTACATGCGCTAAGAAAGATATAAGCGTTCCGTTCTGGTTGTTTGCTGGCTTCACTTTGCTTATGCTGGGAATATTGTCACTCTCTGTCACAATGCTTTACAATGTGGGCGACGAGAAGCTGCCAGGTGTCATTGGGGCTGGAGTTTCTAAGTCAAAATAAATGGCTAATAAGACCTCCGCATATTATTTTTTTTGTCAGGGTTCAGGTCAATTCTCTTTTAGAAGTGGGGTATGTGATGGATAACGAGAGGACGGCCAAAGAGCGGCAAAGTCTAGCATGTTTGAGCCTGGGAGCAACTACTACCTATTGTCGACGGTTCTACATACCATATAATCATTGGAGCCAACACCTTATGTATCATACAGATGTATTCAATAGCGATTTTTCTTTTCTTCTTTTACAGTGATCTTTCATACACGGGCAAGTCAACCACAGAGCTAGGCATCTGATACTTGTTCTAAGACAAAGATTGCATGCATTGCGCCTCCTAACAATCTTGACGACAGTGATTGGTGATGTAAGTAGGAAGTAAGATGTAGCTTTAGCATGTGATTGTGAGGGCTATCTGCTGATTGATGAGAATCTCCAAGTCGCAATTGGACTGGGCTTGAGTGACAGTTGATTGCATTGCATTACCATAACCAAATGATAGCAATCCAAACCAAATGATAGCAATCCTTCCACGCGAGCTAGTTCCTAGTCAAGCCCCTCATTATGCACACTTATCTGCTGCAACTAGTTCTACTACCTATATACCAGTGGCTAGCAGTCTGCTATACCGCATTTTGCAGCTCGGCACAAGCGCAACTGGTCAGACAATTTGCAGCGGAAGAGCACACGTTCAGATATGGCATTCAAAGGGCCCAATAATAAGGTTAATTGGGGAATTGAGTCTGATGGCCTCGTAATCGGCCGAGACGGACTCTGGAGTATTGCCCGCTTAGGACTAGCAAGAGGAGTTTGCGCTAAGCGCGTCGCGAATAGGTGGTTTATTTCCTATTCGGGACTAGACGGCTCTTGCCAGCTCCTATTGTCGTCAATGCGCCAGGCGGGCCGCGGCAGGTACCAGCAGCGTCAAACAGCCAGGAGCGGACATGGAGCGGCCATAGAGCGGCCCTTTGAGCAGGAGCGAGCCCCAGAGCTTCGACCATCAACGGCAGCGAGCAGCGAGAGCCGCGCCTAGGCCTAGGAGAGAGCGAGGGGCGCGCAGCTGCCCCCTCTGGCGTCGCATCATCAGCGCTTTGGCGGCCCATCTTCTGCCTGGGATATTCTCCGGAGCTGAGAGCTTGCGGCATCGACGCAGCTGCGCCTATCCTGACCAATAACAGGCCCGGCATCCCGCCGGCTGCGCCCCGCCACGTCAAGACCGGACTTTTGGCAAAAGGCCGTTCCCAAGTCGCTGGTTGAGCCATCAAGCCTTCAACGGCCAATCCAAAGATGGACGTGGGCAACCTTTTAAATCGAAAGCCCGCCGGACTTCACTCTGTTCTCCTCCACGGTCCTGGGCGTCGACCATGTACCCTCTTTTGGCTGCTTGCATATCTTAGGGTGGGAAAGCCATTGACAAAGGATGGATGCTGGCGCTGAAGCCTCGCTGCCAACCACTAACAGCTCAAGAGCCGAGCGGCCAAAGCTGCCTACGGCCAAATGGGGAGCTGCCTGTGCGCCGTGTGCCACCGCAAAGGCGAAATGTATTCGATCCAACGACACGCCCGGAGCAAAGTGTGACAGGTGAGTTCTTGGATGAGGATATGAGAATATGGAAAATGGGGTTTGAAAAGTATCATAAAATTACGAAAATTTAAGGAGGAGAAAATGTCTTAGACAAGAGTGGGAAAGAGTACAGAAACGCCGATTGTACCCCTTGCCTCGTCTTTGTGAATGGCATCATAGCGCCATCTGTATTTCATTCATACAGCAGAACACTGACAAAGCCAATGCTGTCGCAATTCATAGGTGTGAGAGACTTTTGAAGGAGTGCACGAACCAGATTCATCGCCCGCGCAAGAAAAGACAGTCCAAACCCTCGTAAGTCGGCAATCTCTGTATCTTTTATAAAGCGTACTGGCTGCTCGAATTCCGGTTATGCGGTTCCTTCGGAAACATTGCCTTGACCCTGGCTTCAAGATTCCGAAAGTCCGTCTGAACGGAGATTTCGAATGTGTCGATGGCGATGGGGCCAGCAGCTCCGTCACATCCAAGCCTCACTAACAGCCAGCTCTTCACTCGCGGCTCCTCTATGTGGATATTCGATCTAACAAATCCTGAGCAGCCGAACAGCGCAGATCGAAGAGCGGCTCAACGGCCTGGTTAGTCTTCTGAAAGCGTCTGGAGAGCTTTCCGGAACTCAACCTGACCCACCCTCGCGAGACGACACCAACGAAGACCGCAGGACTGAAGGCTCATCTGATGGCCCGTCCCCGCTCTCAAGCCCGTCGAGTGCCATTCCCAGCATCACCAACCAGGCCAATACTTGGATTATAGATCCGTCGTACAACTCATTCACGCCGAAATCATGCATCTGCCACCCAGACACTCTGGACGCGCCGCCGCCTCCGGAGCCGGACGAGGTTCTTCTCGATTTCTACCGGAAGAATCTCCAACCCGTCCACCCCTTCGTCATAGTCCCGCCCAATATCACCGCAGCTGTTTTGGCGGTAAGGAGACCGTTCCTAATGGCAGCTATCCGAATGGTTAGCTCGTTTCGAAGCATACGATCGATGAGAGCGCAGATGTATCACCTGATGAAGCACCTCGCAGATTACATGCTTGTGCGCTCGGAAAAGTCCCTGGATCTGTTATTAGGGATCATAGTCATGCTTGGATATCAGCAATATCACTGTTGCCTCCACGGACAGCTGAACAACCTGATTACTCTAGCCAGCAGCTTGATTGGTGACATGGGCTTGAATAGGCCTCCAGGATTAAACGAGCGAACCCGTTTGATGGTTGTACGTCCACCAGAGGTGAATGGCCGTAGTAACGAAGAGAGGCGAGCATTTGCAGGGGCATGGTACTGGGCATCCGTGTTTGTCTTTCCTCCCGTTCCTCATCCGTTTATTGATATCATCGTATCGTTTGCTTACCCCTTCTCTTACACCTGCTAGAATTTCGATGAATTTTCAAAGAGTTGAACCGATGAGATACAACAGCTACCTTTCAGACTGTGTGCAACATTTACAAGAGCACTCGGAATACGAAAGCGATATTTCTCTAGTTTACCTTGTCAAGATACAGAGATTGACGGATCGCATCGCCGAATTCAACTCCGAAGACAGGGCTACTGAGGAAACCTCTCCAGTGCCTTCTGCTCCTGTCTCGGCCTACATTTTGGCGTTCCAAAACGAACTCAACCAAATTCGCGACTCCATGCCTAAACATCTGAAGGAAGACAGTTAGTAGCGTTTCTGCCAAATTTTGCAGGTAAAATCTTGGTCTAACTTGGGCTATAGAGACTTTTCAGCTCTTTCTAAACAGTGCCAGCCTTCGCCTGTATGAGCCGCCTGTTGTCGACAAAAATCTGATCCGTTCACTATCCAAGTCGCTTTCTTCTGTGTCCATGGCTATGGATTCGCCACTCGACAAAATCTACCGATCAAGTGCCGTTCTTACAACATGGTTCAACTCCTGGCTTGCTCTCCCCATCTCCACCTATTATTTTCAAACCACGGCAGTCGGTTCACATCTCGTCTACGCTCTTGTTATGCTAGCTCGCTGGGCAAGGTTATCGACTCCAAGAGCCATGTTCGAAGGCAGGACACCAATGCCAGACGACCCGAGCGCAAATAACCCAAATCTTGCTTTATATAACTCTGACATGGCCAATGTGCAGTGCGAATCTGGCATGGCATCAGGCAAGACCGATGCACCTCCTGAACGTTTGCCTGTGCGTCCCGATTTAGAAGATTCTGACCTTGCGGCTGCTGTGGCCGTATTACGAACGCAGCTACAAACACAGCCTGGCCTAATGATCAACATCCCCGAGATCCTCTCAGCGATATGTAACCGCTTTGAACATGCCAACGCAACCTTCCAATTATGCTCGGTAGACACAGAAAGAGTCAACAAAAATATTTGGATGATGACTGCTCTGAAAGTTCGCATCACAAGAGCCAAGCTGGAGAAATGGGCAGAACTAGTGGCTGAAGGAGGAGAAAGCCTTGGTCAAGATGATCGAACAGACGGAGATCAAAGAATGGCAGAATGGCAAGCAGTGATGCATATACCGCAAACGGAATGCACGGGCCTAGACGATCTAGGAATTTTAGCGACTGAGTATCAACAGCAGCCCCAAGCAGAAAGTAATTCATGGGGGCATGCGACAAACATTCCGTGGACTACCGATTTACTTTCTGGTTTTGATCCAAGTAGCTTGTTTGATGGATATCTGGATTGGAATTCAGTTGGCATGAATGCTACACCTCCTTTGGAAAGATGAATATTTGTTCCCGTCGCCATTTCACTACGATTATTATACCGTTTTCGAGTATTCCTTTTTTACTTTGCCTTGAGTTTGGCATACCCCGGAGCAGTATTTCTGAACTCAATTTTTATACATACGAAACGTTGTATTTTAACGATGACGAAGCTGGATATTGTTATGTCACTAAGAAGCTATGCTGAACAGCAAACTATGGAATTATAATAGACCTCACCAACAGAGGGAAGGATGAAAAGAAAAAGGTTGAAAATGAAATGGAACTATTGGCGAGAATTGCGTCGCCAGGGGTTCTTGAACCCTATTGTTTCTTGCCCCTCGCCCAGCTCCAGAGTTGCGGGCTTGGTCTTGACTCATTGAGTGCTGGATAAGATCAAAGTTCGGCGTCTACACATGACAAACTTGAGCTTACACAAAGAGAAATGAAAGAAAGGAGGCGCATCACTGATATCATAGTGTAGATGCACCGTAACTATATTAGTTAACGACCGTGCCTACTTGTTGTGTGTTGTTGTGTGTATATCGGTAGCGTGGGCTCTTGCAAGTATTATTAGCGCATCTTAATAGACACAATGATTATGTTTGAATATTCGTTCAGATATTCAACAGCTCCAATCATCCTACTTGATCGATATACATAATATATACCACATCTTGTGGTGTCTTATGGTCGACTGCACGAGGACAGACCAGTGCTGTACTATCGTTCCGCATCGCTTATAGGCGTAATGCAAATGTAGCATAATTTAGAACACTTTTTGATTGAATTGTACAATGAACTTTTAGGCTGTTACTTGTAAAATATGTAAATGCGAATGGACCTCTTTTCTTATTAGAGCAAGAATAGCTTAGTATTGGGGAATGCGGGGTCTCGGAAACCCCAGGAACCATCGTTTTCTCAATGCTCTCTCAATCTCTAGTATCTAATTGACTAGTAGAGACTTGACCATTGCATAGAACTTCTTCTTTTCAAAACATCCCCAAAAACATAAGAAGCAATGGCATCCTCCACACAAGGAGGCGGGCCTCTCAAATTCGAAGAAATCCCAACGTCTGACGTTACGTGTGATTTCATTGAGCCGTCTGAAGTTTACGAGTCAATTGAGCGCGTCAAGGCAGCAGGTCAACAAGCGCAAAAGGACTTTTTACTGGTTGATGTGCGCAGGACTGATTGGGAGGGCGGCACGGTTGCCACGTCTGTAAACTTCCCAGCTCAGTCATTTTATCAAACTCGCTCGGGGGTCTATCATCTTTGCAAGCAGGCTGGGATTAAGAAAGTTATATTCTACTGCGGTGAGTGTCTACCCGCAAGCATGTTGTTGGTTATAACGCCGTAAACTAATCGTGGGTTGGCCATGTGCAGGGAGCTGTGGCACTAGAGGACCGAAGTGTGCGGGCTGGTTCCAAGAGTACCTCAATTCGATTGGGGAGGCTGAGATGAAGGCTTTGATTCTTCGGGGAGGCGTCAAGGGATGGCAGAAGACATACAACGGCCAGTTGATGGATTATTATGATCCGGGCGCCTGGGGTTCACAAAGCAAGTAGACATGGGGGGGTCCCATGCAGGTAAATTTTATCTTTTTTTTAATCTTGAACTCGGAAAAAAACCCAAAATCTAGCAGCGATAGATAATCGTATCAAGTCCCATTATCACCTCTTCGTATCGTTTCCGTAAACGCCAAACAAGTACATTCAGGTATCCATTCACCATCTTGTTGTCGTCCCAACTTATCGGTTCTGCCTGTCGTCGCCGCCGATCCTCTCCAGAGCTTCTAGCATGACCACGGAGTTGCCGCGAATGACCTGTTGTTTCTGAGTAAGCTTGTGTCCCCAAAGGAAAAGACTCTAGTTCGTCGTGGGATTTTGAAAATGTACGCACAACCATGCCCAGCCTGATCTTTTCTCCACCGTCTTTCTCTTCGACCGCCTCGTCCAGGACAACGTTCAGGAAGACCTGTGTGGATTGAGTTAGTCTTTCGTAACACCCTCGTTAGCAGTGTTTCGGATCATTCTTACATCGTATCCACGAAGCACTCCGATGACCTTGCGACCACCGTTAAGCTGGACGAAGAGCCGCTTGTCGAGATACTAAGCCCAGGCGTTAGATGGTATCGTCACTTGAGTAGCGAGTCATTGGATTTGCTGGGGTATTCGCGAAGAATTGGGGAAGCTATCCAGACTGCAGAGCCGATCATGGTTCGGACAGAAGACATACCTTCTTCAGCTCAGGTTGGGCCGGTGCCATGTTGAGCAATCAATTGAATGTGACTTGGTTACTGTCGAATTGCGACGACGCGATCCTCTAGCACTAACGTAGGTTCAAGCTTGCTGCCCACCTTAAATTTCTAGTCACGTGCCGATAAGATACCAAGCCAGGACATTGGCAATGAGACGAGGATGCGGTCGAACAACTTGCTCCCCAGCTCATAAACTAAATTTCCTCAAGGAAAAATGAGTTCGTTTGGCGCAAAACGCAAGGCGCGGGTCATCAAAGTCGACTACGATGACGATGAAGGTAGCGGCGACGCGCCGCTCACGGCCGAGGGCGGAGGCCCCAAAGATGGTATGTTTCGCATGACTCTTGTGGCGACCGCTTTTGCTGATGGAAAACAAGGCTGACGTGACTGAACGGCAGATGATGTGAAGCCGGTGTTTAATTCAAAAGCGGCACGAAAACCATTTCGACAATCGGGGCTGCGTATTACCTTTAACCCTCGAGACGAAGATACATCAGGCGACAGAGACGAGACACCAGGAGGCAATGACGATGATGACAATGGCCCTGTGGTTGTTCGACCAAGTATCAATCGATCAGGATTATCGAAGCAGAAAAAGAAAATTCCCAAATCGAAGCTTTCATTTGGTGGCGACGCTGGCCAAGAAGAGGACGAGCCTATAAGCGACTTTAACCCGTCAAGAAAGTCGGCAATGGGACAGAAAGTGCTGGAAAACAATACTGTCAAGCGTGGAATGGCTGCCCGAGGGTTACCGTTACCGGTACGATCATATCAAGAAGATGACGACAGGCCCAGATATAGCAAGGAATATCTCGACGAGCTTCAATCTTCAACACCAAATACCCCCAGCGACCTCTCATCCTTAAAGGCGAATCTTGACGACGAAATGGACCTGGATCCGTCCGAATTGGAAGGCGCTCTGATTGTAGACTCCCCGATGCCCGCTTCCACGGGCCAGCCTCAGGCTACTCAGATACTCACAGATGCAGAAATTCGCGAAAGGAAAGAGCGTAGAGCCCGGTTAGCGAAGGAGAAAGACTATATTTCTATGGAAGATGAGGATGATGGTCTGTTTGGTCGAAAGAAAAAAGACGATACCCGATTGGTTGCTGAAGATGAGGATTTGGGAGAAGGCTTTGATGATTACGTCGAAGATGGTGGATTGTCATTAGGTAAACGCGCAGAGAAGGAACGACGGAAACAGGAGCGCCAAACGATGGCTGAGCTCATCAACGCAGCTGAAGGCCATACCTCGGATTCATCTGCAGACAGCGATGCCGAGCGACGCATTGCGTATGAAACAGCGCAAACGCGCGCCGGTATGGACGGCCTGAAGAAGCCGCGGAAAGATCCCAACGAACAACTGCTACAAGTTCCTCCCAAGATAACGCCCTTACCAAGCCTTTCAGAATGCTTGGTTCAGCTACAGGCATCGTTGAAAATGATGGAGGGTGATATTAATATCAAGACAGCCGCAGTTACGCAGCTCACTCGCGAAAGAGACGATATTGTTAAGAGAGAAGCTGAAGTACAGGCATTTCTGAATGAGACCGGCAAGAAGTATGAAGAGGCCATGGGCCGGAAGCCCGATTCGGCTGATGGAGTTGCTGCTGCTGGGCCAAGCGCTGAGCTGGCTGGCGAGAGAGGGCTGGAGAGCTTAGGAGCGACGCCGATGAAGCAAGTTGAGATGGAAGATATCGAATAACGACTGCTCGGATTCTCCTGTTTCAATAATCACGATTTAATCATGTATAAATACTACAATACTATAGCGAATTGTTTGGCTGGGCTGTTGTTACTAGGCGCAGCTTGATATAATGACGGACTCGTTTAGTCCAAAAAAAAAAACTTGACGATAATGATTTGGTCTTTTGTGCACACAATACTTTGGGCCTTTCGCCTCTGATTAAGCATATTCATTTCCTGTAGCTATTTCAAAAAGAGTGCTCCGCCATCAGGGTATCATGTAGTTGGAAGAAAAATGTCCACCGGTATGAAGGAAGTAAAGATAGGCGATATAGACTCATGATTCATAATGTTGTTAATTGTACGGCCTGGCTAAAGATTGCGCTTCGTAAGCGTTACCCAGAAATCTGACGCAAAGAGGAATATGGAGGCGGTTGTCTTGATCGGTGACTCGGGATTCACTACGCAAAAGTCGAAGCGTCGTACGAGCTGTCAGACATGTCCGAATTAGCCACTTGCAAATTGCTCCATGGCAGGATTTAAAAGGTTGCACGATGTAACGCACCTCAAAAACAGCCTTGTGCAACTCCATCATGGCAATTGGCTTTCCGAGACAAGAATACTTGCCGTAGCCAAAGTGCGTGTCGACGGCGTCTGTCATTTCCTTGAGGCGATCTCCTGTCGCGCTGAGCCACCTCTCTGGGCGAAATACGTCGGCGTCAGGGCCCCAGACGGCTTTGGAGCGTCCGACGCCGTGGAAGCCCTGGCCGATCTCCGTGCCGCCGGGCACGAAGTATCCGTTGACGTGGTCGCCTTCGGGGGGAACCGTCTTGAATCCGAGGCCGCCGACGGGGGGCCACATGCGGAGGCCTTCGCGGATGACTGCTTGCAGATATGGTAGAGTTTGTGCTTGTGCCCAGGTGATGGGGGAGCTGACGGCGGGAGAGGCGCGGCGGATTTCGTCGATGAGGGAGTTGTACGCCGGCGGGGAGGTGATGATGGAGAGGAGAGTCATTCGGAGGGCGTGAGCGGAAGAATTAGAACCGGCGATGCTGTTTCGACAATGTTAGATGGTGGATATTGGGCGGAGGGCGCGATTGGGATGCGTTACATTGAGAGGAAGACCTGTTGGATGAGGTCGTTCTTGGACATGCCGCTGTCGATATGGGCTTGCATCATGTCTTGAGCCCGGGGTGTTTTTGGATCCAATCGCGTATCTACGTAGCCCCGTGCGAAGCTTTATTTATTTCAGCAATTGTTCTTTCTTGATACGGATGTTTCGCTCAAACTTACCGCATCAATCGACCGAAGCCGACTTGATCGCCTTCCTTTGGCAGCAGTAATCGCAAGGGCCATGTGTGGACAATGTTTGCCAGCGCAGGCATCACAGATACAACATTCATCAGGGGTAGCGATGTGGTGTTGATTTCATTGTATTGGTACAAGTCTTCGTCTTTGTCAAGATAGCCAAACGGCTGTCCGAGAGAGATGTCGCCTATGGCGTCCAGGGCGAAGAACTGCGTCTTCTCGGCCATGTCAAAGGGGCGGACGTCGGAGCCAGACGTGACATACTTGCGCTCAAGCAGGTCGATGAAGCTGAGGAGTTGGCGGTTCATGGCAGCTTCGAAGCTGTAGCCTTCATTTGCCTTGCCAGAGAACTTGGGAGAGAGAGTCAACAACGCTCAGTAGTAGTATGCAGAAATGGAACTGAACTTACACCGGGAGCCATCAAGGCGCGCATCTCTTTATGCTTGGCTGGGTCTCGCAATGAGACGACATTGTCTACGCCGGGGACAATCTTGCCGCTTGCGTAGAACTTGCCCTTGGTGTAGCCGCTGCGAACTGCAGACATGCGACGGAGCACCTCTGGATCGGTTGAGAGGAGCTGATTGGGTCCGATGCGCACAAGAGGGCCTGTATATGAGATAGCTTGGGAGTGAGCAAACAATGATGCGGAAAAAAAAAAAGAAAAAGAAAAAAAAAATAGAAATGTTATGCTTTCTTATAAAGCTTCATACCGTAGGTGTCGGCAGCTTCTTTGAGCCGCTCATGATAGCGTCCTGACAATGCGTTGGAAAGCTGCCACCATATTGTCCATGCCGCGGTGGTTGGTCCGGGGATGTGGCGCAGTCGCTGCCAGAAGTATATTCGACGAGCTGCGAATGTGACCAACGTTATGAGCAGTATGCTGTATAGGTAGATTGTCATGAGCGACATTGTGTGGAAAAAATATGCGACTGGTTTTCGTCCTCCTTGGCTGAGACTCAGTGTGAAAGACGGAGGAAGAGCTGCGCAAGTGACCCAGAGAGTGTGGCAGATCTGTGCGGTGCGCACGCTATGGATGCATGGAATTAATGATTGGGGGAAAACGATCTTCAATTTATACAAGCAGTTACTACTTGGATCCCTAATTAGAGGCGAGAATCAGAGAACACAAACACAAGGGTGGAAAGGGAGAAGTGGCCGGTGGAGAGCGTTGATGGCAGAAACACCCACATATTATCCTTTTTGCTCCACGGGCTTAATCTCTATCTATGCAGTTCCACTCCCCGCGGCTTCGCGGGAAATCAAATATGGAGTAGAAGCTGCTGCCAGGTAGAGCAAATGAAGTCAACTGCAAAAACCAGGCTCGTGGCTGAAAAGTGAGCACGATCTCGACAGGGATTCGTTTTATTCGCAGATTGGGGACATTTATATACACTAGAGTGCGTGCAATCCCTACACTGCGGGCACTCGTGGTTCCAATACGACGATTCTGCGGCTCTCTCCGAATCTTCTGCAGCGGAATTTTTCTTTTCTTTTTCTTTTTCTTTTTCTTTTTCTTTTTCTTTTTCTTTTTCTTTTTCTTTTTCTTTTCTTTTCTTTTTTTTTTTTTTTTGGGGTTAGTTTTGGGGTCAAGGGACGTTTCCCAAATCAGAAGCTGTGGGGGTGAATAAAGCTGCGTTTTTCCAGGAGGGGCAGCAATCGCCATATGTTCGGCAAGTTGGATGTGCTGTGCTGTAGGCCTGTGTGGTTCCGCCTGCGGGACGGCCAGGGCCGGGCCAAGAAAGGATGGCGCCGGGGGCCAGCGCAGCGAGTTTCC